CTTCAAAGATTTTGAATATGCATAATAAAGATGGTAATTAAGACTAAATCCATAAATGTAGAACCAGAACTTGAAATACATTCCTGAGTTGCGATGAATTCAAATTTTGAATAGGATTGAAATGAAGAAACTGAGACAAGTTTTTAGATTAGACTCATTTTGTTGCAAATATTCTTGTTTAGATGAGATTTTAAGTGCGTTAGCCTTAGGAACTATCCGGTTCTCATTGGTACAGTTTGTGAAAACCCAAAACTTTATTTAGTGCTTATATTGTTGTCATGATTAAAGAAATGAAGGGTTTTTCAATCCAATGGCATAAATATGAACGACTGGTCCCGAATGATAGAGAAAACATTACTTAAGTCGAGTCAGAGACCACTAATTTACAAGATTGAGTTCAATGTCTTAATTCCCATAGTCATAACCTTTAATAATAAGGAGTCTTCTATGATCTTGTCACAAACAAAATCCCAAGATAACCAAATTGTCATAAAACCTCAAACAAAGATAAAGTTCATTCAGAAACTTATCAAATCTTCACATAGCCATGACAACATAAAGTTTGCCATAATTTACAACAGTCTAAACAAATGCCGGTAGTAGGAACCAGGAGTTTAATTAATTTTTGATTTATTGGCATCTTCTCGTTCTTAAATCAGGTTTGAAGTCTCAGTTGCGAAAATTGTAGATTTTTGATGCATTTTTTTCTATTTTCTGTAGAAGATTAAGCAAATTTACACGTTTGACTGTTGACATTTAAATTTCTATACAATGTTATTCTTAAGAAATGAGCTGCGAATATGAAGAATGCATAAAATTCAAGATTCTATTGTTTTTTAAACACTCTGCATCTTCTTAAGAGTCGTCATATGTTCTCATTTGATCTTTGACTTATTCCGAAAATCTAAATTCAAAAAAACGTATCTTTTATTTTTTATGACTCATAAAAATAACCAGACTACAAAATTGTGACGTCATAGGAGTTCTAATCTTAATAACTAATTTTATGTCAGTTTCTAGACGGCTAGGACATTGACATGCAGCTGCAAAAGCGTGACTTTTAATTTTTGATTTCCTTACTAAGGTGCGCGCAGTTCGTTTAGACGCACTTAATTTTTTTCAAATTTTCCTTTAATAAACACTATTAAGACAAAAACTATTTTATGTGTTTATAGCTATGACCAATTAGGTTATAAATATAATAAAAGTACCTGACTAAATGCTTTGCTTAAGTAATTAAAATAATTTTTTCAAAAATTACAACAACAAAGTGCGCAGTTCGTTTAGACGCACTTTGAAAAATCTAAAATTTTGTCTTATTTACGTTTCGTAGAAAACTTAATCGTTTCTAATATTAATCTATCAACAAAAACGAGTAATTACTGAGGGTTTTAGAATTTTCCATCAAGTTTTTCCAGAGATTTTCCTTCATTAAAGTTTTCATGTTGCAAAAATTTTGATAAATTATTTATCCAATAATTTTGCGTTAAATTATTATTCTTTTAACTGATTTCCATAGATAATTGTCCATAATATTAGAAAATTAACAGATATTTAAGCTTTCTTCTAAGTATAAGGCGAAAATATGTGAAAAATATAATTATGGTGAAAAATTTCCACCACTCTCATAGATTAATCAACAAATTTTGACAAAACTGTAGATAACATAATAAATTTGAATAGACCAGCTTATTTATCGTATTAAACTTAGTTAAAAACAGAAAACTGCACAGCTCTATGGCTAATGGAACTTGAAAATTTTACTGATAAATTAAGTTGTGGTGAAAAAATTCACCATAGAAAAATAAAATTTTAAAAAACGTTGTTTTAGGCAATTGTTTCATTTAAATTAGGTTGTAAAAGTGTTTCTGTCTCAAAATTAATCAATTTAAAACATGAATTAAAACCTTAGACATAGTTTTTTTAAAATTTTATTTTTCTATGGTGAATTTTTTCACCACAACTTAATTTATCAGTAAAATTTTCAAGTTCCATTAGCCATAGAGCTGTGCAGTTTTCTGTTTTTAACTAAGTTTAATACGATAAATAAGCTGGTCTATTCAAATTTATTATGTTATCTACAGTTTTGTCAAAATTTGTTGATTAATCTATGAGAGTGGTGGAAATTTTTCACCATAATTATATTTTTCACATATTTTCGCCTTATACTTAGAAGAAAGCTTAAATATCTGTTAATTTTCTAATATTATGGACAATTATCTATGGAAATCAGTTAAAAGAATAATAATTTAACGCAAAATTATTGGATAAATAATTTATCAAAATTTTTGCAACATGAAAACTTTAATGAAGGAAAATCTCTGGAAAAACTTGATGGAAAATTCTAAAACCCTCAGTAATTACTCGTTTTTGTTGATAGATTAATATTAGAAACGATTAAGTTTTCTACGAAACGTAAATAAGACAAAATTTTAGATTTTTCAAAGTGCGTCTAAACGAACTGCGCACTTTGTTGTTGTAATTTTTGAAAAAATTATTTTAATTACTTAAGCAAAGCATTTAGTCAGGTACTTTTATTATATTTATAACCTAATTGGTCATAGCTATAAACACATAAAATAGTTTTTGTCTTAATAGTGTTTATTAAAGGAAAATTTGAAAAAAATTAAGTGCGTCTAAACGAACTGCGCGCACCTTACTCAAAATTATCCTTGACATCAAAATATTTAAACATAACCTCCAAATTCCAAAGCTAATATTTCCAAAAGCACAAAATTGCCAAAATATATCCACAAATATTTTCCAACAAATTAACTCTTTCAATTTCTTTGCGTTCAATTTCAATGGAACAATCTTGATTCCAATTTCAATCGAAATTTTCTCTCTCCACTGAACACAATTCATACAAGCACTAGCACTGTTTCCTGTATACTTTTATGATCATGTTAGATTGTATTGCTAGATATGTGAAGCTGCATAAAACATCTTGCAATAGCTTCGTTGTGTATCTCGTGTGTTGGACAAGACAATTATTAAGTTGACGTCTAAAATGGCTGTGCATGTACGATTGTTTATTTAACGATTCTTGTAGCTTGCATTTGTAAACAGTTGAACAACTGGAATCGACTCAAAATCAATTGAAAAATTCCTTGCGACCTAAGTAGACTCAAACTGACTTCAAACTCTGTAAAACTTGTTGACTGAATGTTCTAATAAGCTTGAATAACAGCACGTGCATCATGATTTCAGAATGTCTAATCTAATCAGCTCTAATAAACTCAAAATAACTCTACGACAAACTAATAACACCCAAAAAATCTTGCACAAGCTTCACCAGTCATAAAATTATTGAGCCATAAAAAAAATATTCTCGAAACTGCAACATTTGGTAGAAAATTTTTATCCAGTCATAAAACTATAGTCAGCTCATAAAAAGTGAAAGAACGAGAGGTGTCTTGTGCTTTAAAATTTTTGTTTGCAAACTTGTTTCTCAGACTCATCTACGGATACAAAAAAAAAGACTTTATTATCACTACTGAATAGACGTAGAAGCATGTTCGCTCGACTACGTTCCATACACTTTATTATATCTCTTTATATTCTTGTATTCCTGACCTACATTGCATCATTTTTCATCCTCTAAAAGATATTGTATTCATTTTTTTATCAAAATTTTCATACAGCATATTAAAATTTATCGTACCTGTACATAATGCTTATAAATTGCAAGCATAAATTGCGATTTATGTTTATTGAGCAGCTCGAAGTTCAATAAATTGTAAATAAATGCTTACTTAACGTGTAACAAGGCTATTCATGTAAAGTAATATCTGCAATTTCTGTCAATTTTACAAGACAGTACGAAGATGAATGGGAAGCGATTAAAGTTTGCTGACTGTCGCGCATTCTTGCAATATTGTTGAGTTTAGCCTTCAAAACTTGTCCGAGATCAGAATCCTAATTTGTAGCTTGTTTTCACTTTTAGTCTTCAGAATTTGTTACGACACACACGCAATAAAAATATTATACAATCTGATAATTTATTAATTTACATACAATCTGGTCTAGAATTAAGTTTTGCGAATTCGTTGACCCATGGCATTTTGAGGATATTTGGACATCGTTAAGAATGAATTTTTAGTAGCAAAACAAAACTAGTTGAGAATGAGCTTATGAAGAGTCAAAGACTTCTCTCAAGGACTTCTTTATTTTATAAGAATGAAGCTTAAGAATGAAACGCAATAAAATTCAACACTCGGTGCGGTGCTAAAATATTTTTAACTTTCTGCTGCTGCTGCTAGCTAGTAAAAGGCAATAAAACTCGTCTAGATGACATTACAAAAATAGACATGGGATGGACATGATTCACAATTTTTTTTAAACTCTGATTTTTTGTATCCAAAAAGATGAGAATCTTCTTAACGGATCAAGTAGTAAAAGTCATATTTCACGTCCATATAAATCCATGCTGCTTATGATGATACACAACACAGTTATTCTGTAGATACAAAATTGAAAGTGCTTGTGAAACTGCTATATATGCTGCAAATACAGATTTCTCATCTTGATCACTCGCTGCAATTGTATAATGAATTGAAAATTTGCAAGACTTGGTGACTTTATGGAATTGTATGGGTTTTTTATGGATATTGGAAGTGTTTTATATAACATCAAGGAATTTTAATTGAAATTTATGGTATGCTTGCATAAACTGCAATATTTTAATGAGTACAGCCTTAAATCTAGAGTATAAAATGACTTTTAAGACTCGTCATACTTTTTTGTGCTCGATCTTCAAGTTGAAGTTAAATCAATCTCATAATTGTGAGACATTTCTTCATAAACTACTAATAACTTAAAGCATAATGACCATTTTATGATCAGTTCACCTACCGCACAACATTCATCAATCATTAGCCCATCAATCATTCAAATAAAAATAAAAAATCATTCAAAATTCAAAATCTTACTAACAACCTTCAAACTATTTTATCATTCACAAGATGATTAATCCAAATTTTTTATTCCTATCCAAATAGACTGTCCAAATTGTGTAGATGATACAATAGCAACACCAAATCGATGGACGATGCCATTATTGAAGCTTGGTGAGAAGAGATATTATTTAGGAATATTTTTCAAGGTGAGAATTATATAAATTATATAATTACGGACAATAAGCATAGATTCATGCAGTGGCAATTATTACACGTGAGCGTTGCTTTTTTATTTAATGATCGCGCAGCAAACAAACAAATAAAAATATAAAGGATTATTTAGAAAATTAAATCTCAATTTGAATCAACATTGAAGTTCCGTCATAAACTTTAATACTTAAGACTTTCCATGAATACCGTCAAGGGAATTTAATTCATTAAAATGTCTTCGATTCAATTTCACCGATTTTGTAGCATTAATTTTCCTCCAATGCGCAATTGTTTCCAATGCAGTCGTTAGTCGAAAGTGCCATTGTGAATGAGGAACAAATAGAACAAGTGCAAAACTTTTCTCATAAACTCGGCACTAATTATGCAATGTAATTGAAATTGTATGGATAAAGTTTTTTTAAACATTTTCTTTTATTTGCTCTCGTTCTACACATTCACGCCTCTTCAAAAATTACTTTTTCTTGTTGAAAGAAGGGAGGAGATCGGGAATGGGAAAGGATTTGCATGAAGCTTGTTAGCATGAACTTCGATTAAAGTCTTAAACTTTTTTTTGCTTATCTTGAAATTTTGTGTTTGTTCTAAATTCTTAATTCTTGAGATTAAAGTCGAGTAGTTGAATTTTTTTTTTGAGAGCTTATTCAGTTTTTTTGGAAGTTTATGAATTTTTTTGGAGTGTTAAATTGTTTTTTGAAATTGTTAATTCATTTGAAATTGTCTAATTCAATGGTATGACTCTATAATCACTGATCTGATCTTATTATACTAGACTCTATTGCTAGGATTGATATAGTTTTTAGCCTAGATTACTAATTATATAGCCTTCCTAATTGTCTCTTGAAACCTTACCCCAAATGAAACATGTTGGTTGCCCCAACTTACCATTTTCTCAATTTAAAAGTGTATCTTAACTTTCGGTACCTAATTATTGCAATGCCGATACATACTCGGTATGAGAAATTTTTCACTTGTCCTTTTTCAAATTATATGAACTGGAAATGAAGCTTACAGCGTTCCTTTATAGGCTGTAGGCAGAAATGTCAGCAAAGGAGTGGTTCGGATCCCACTATAATTTGTAGGTCTAGGTTTGAGTGCAGTGATTTGGAGCATCCTCACTCGTTAAACTCTCGTCAGCTGCGAAACGCCCTACGGCACCTCTGGATCACAATTGATCTGAATAAGTATTGGTTTTTATTTTAAACTGTCTAGGAAGACTTAAAAATATTAACAATGAAACTCAAAAGCCATCTTAACATCATGAAGTACATATATCAAGCTTCTGTACCATCAAATATCTTTCAAAAAAATTAAAATTAATTTTTATCAACTTGGTGACATTTACACTGGCATATTATTTAAAAGAAAACATCAAAGCAGCACACAAAACATGAACATTCAATGGAAGATGAAAAAAACTCACTGGAAACACCCATCTTAATAATTATAAGTTTGTAACATTGACATTTCTTTCATTCGTGATAAATTTTCGCTGATAATATCGGCACTCAAGTATAAGAGTTTAACAGAATGATTGTAGATAATGATGGCACTTGGTAAAGTCGAGTGTTCCCAGCAAGTATAAATATAAGATCTTGTCTGGCTGTTGATAAAAATTTTAAGGTAGCTAGTTTTAATGCCAAAATCTGCAATTCAAGGCATGAGTAATAAAAATGATTCAGCAGTATTTAAAGGCTGGTAATTATAATAAAATGGGCGGAGTGGCTAGCATTATTCAAATGAGAAACAAACCATTTTTTGCCAAATTGTGTCACTGTCTAAATTAAGATTTAGAATGTTTAGATTTAGAAGCACATTAGTTCGAAAATGCACAAGGAAGTGAAATTGACATTAATTTTATTCCATGAATATTTTTGATGCCATACAGAAATTACTGACACAGTTTTTGTCATATTACTGCTCACTTCTCAAAAATAATCCAATTATTGCTGTCGCAACTGGAAACAAAAGTCTCAATCATAAAAGAAATAAACATGAAATGCAAGTTTTATTTATAAAAATGAAAGTGTTGTCTCGGAATTTTATAATCTCATGAAATTACTCAATTAGGAGTTGAAAAATTGTCGAAAAAATTTTAAAATTAAAATATTTATATAATAATGCTCAATTTAGTGGATTCTGAAATGACTTCTGATTGTAATCTATAGTTCAACTTACACTCGAGTACAACTCAATAGTATAGCATCAGGAAGTGAGGATGAACATCACTAGATGCTTTACTGTCAGAAAAGATTCTGCATTACAGATTTTTGGGTAGGATTTGAACCCAAGGCTCAAGATTTCCTCACATCCTGCTCCCATTGAGTTATCGAGAGTTCTTTGACTTTATGGCTAAATGCCACATAAAAGCTACATATTTGTCTTGACAGTCAATTGACTGGCTAATACAGGAATTCTATAATTACATTGCAAACTTTGTAACTTCAGAAATTTACTACTCGCGGTTCAAAGCTATAATCGAGTTACAAGAAGCAAAAAAAAAAAAGAAAAAATTTCAATAAATATAAATTAAATTAAAAAATACCAAAGGTTTCCAACAACTAAAGCTAAAAGGTAAACAAAACTGTGTGGGAATCGATAATTGTTTCCAGAAAATGTCCATAAAATGCTGAATGAATCTAGTGACATCATTTGGAAATTAAAAGATGTCTTAATGGTTAAAATTAATTGCAATTATAGCTTTGTCGTCCTCAATTCTCAAGTATGTTTATTAATAAGTTTCAAGCTGAGTATAAACAAACTAACAAAACTGCAAGACATGCTGTTAATATTTAACATGATCATTTCTCGTTGTAAAATTTGCAACATCATTTGCCCTGAGAAAAATATTAAAAAGCTACAGAACAAGAAGTAAAAGTTTTAAAACAAAACTCAAATAAAAATTTACATCTCCATCCAGTCGGTATAGACAACTGCATCAGCTCATGAATATTATAATAATTATGATAATTGAAATAAAGTAGAACACACAGACAGAACATTAAAAAAATTGTATATTGCAAAGGAAGTAAATTCGAGAATACCGAATGAAAGGAAGTTTATGAAAAGAAATTATATAATGGAAGCGACAGAGTGAGGAAATGAAAAATTTTTGTATAATGATGAGATGAAGCTGTTCACTTTGTTGGAGGAAACTTTTTTCTGTGCTTTGTAAGAAGAAATTTTGGATCACGTAATTTTTTTTCCGTCTTATATGAAACTGGGTTAACATGCTGAGTTGGAAGTAGTAAAGAGCGGTTGGATGGCTGGGATGTTTTAGGAATTATTTGTTAATTTTTTCACAGTTCAAATTCTTTGAATTCTTAAAATTTCTTTTGCTAATTCAAAATTTGGAAGATGCAGAAAAGATGCAAAAATTCAAATTTCTAGAAACCAGTAAAAAATTCAAACCTCAACTATCCGTTGCGTTTCATTAAGGTCAAATTTTTACACCAATATCTCTCTCTCGAATTCACTCTCGTGCTCACATCTCGTGGCTGAATTGAGATCAAATTAGATATGCAGTCGGACATTCATGAAATTGACATTGGGTGGGTGAATTCAAGTTCATGTAAAATAAATCATTTAGATTCAAATTAGAAACCAGTCATATGAAGAAAATGGTTATGTTGTGTCTAGCAATCTTTGTAGACTGTACATAGCCAGATCTGTTTTTTTTTACCTTAAATGTCATCGACCGATTGTTAAGCAAGCAGAAAATAAAAGAAAGGAAAAAAAATTCTCTTTATTTGCTTCCTTGAACTTGCCGGTGAATGTCTGTGTTGTCGCATGGCTTGAACAGCTTTGTAGGAAATTCTGACTGAGGTGAAACTGTTGAAGCGTGGGAAGGTCAACGGCTTGTTTTAACCCATAAAAAATTTATATAAGCACAGCTTTTTTTATGACAAAAAGATGAAATTCATTCATGCTTATGTAAAAATTGATGGATAAAAAATTTTGAATAGGAAGACTTCCCTTAAAACAGCATAAACGGATGAGTTTGCATTTCAATACTTTTTTATCGTAGAGCTTTTGTTGCCGGTCTTCTTCCTCATTTTTTATGATTTTCATAAAATCTTATTTATGTGAAAAATTCTTTGTTTGTTTTGATGCTGCCTAAAATTGCTTAATTTAATCTTCTTAGCATCAATCGATGTCTATTCTTGCCTATAAAAATCATAGTAAAGCTTAAAATGCAACAACAATAGACAAAATCTTCTCTGTCTGTGTACATTTTGTGATTTTATTGATGAAGGATCTGATAAATGTTTGTTTTTGAAAGGCAGAATAGCATGTGTTTATGCTCATTCTGTGTATTGTTGATACAATCAAAAATTGATGTAGAGAAGGCAATTTTTGATGGTTTTGGATATTTCCGTTCTTAGAAAACTTTTAGAGATGTTTTGACAGATCTGAGAGATATTTTTTACAATTTAGCTGGATGTGATTATACTCTTGATGAAAAATTTTTGAATTTAACGAGTATGAAGTACCGTGACTTAGAGCCATAAAACAAAATAATTGACATAAATGTTTAACTCGATTTCATGTTAATTTTATGTCATTTGTGTTGGCGATAAATAATATTTATAATCATTTAATTGGAAATGAATGCAATTAATTGGATAGTAGAAGAAGAAATTGGAAATGCATCGAGTGACTCAGAACTGAGCGTTATTTAAAATAGAATGGAATTTTGGCATCATGGCGAAAAATCCAAAGTTTGACTAATTTTAAATCAATTTTATGAGCTAGGTTTGTAGTTTTTGAAGTCAAGATAGACTTGTGGCTGCAGGTTTTTATGGCAAATAGTTCTTTAACAATGAGTCTATTATTAAAACTATAAATCATAGTCTCCAATAATAGTAAGTCTCAATAGCCAAACATTATCGATTTTCATTCAAAATTCATCAAAAGAATAGCTTCAACTTTCACTCACATTCAAGGTTTGCTCAATAAAAATCAACTATAAATCAGACGCCTTTAACTATCCACAAAATTTTCCTCATCATTTTAATATTTTATTATTTCAATTGCTTAAGACAATGCCTTTAAAAATGTTGGGAAAATGAGATGAATTGCCATTTTTTTGATAATTGAATATCAAGAAATTACGCCATGTTATCCTCAATTATTGATCAGTTACTTCCAAAAAAGAATATAATAAGAATTTTATGATTCATATAAATATTTTGAATTGGCAATTGTTGATCTACTGTGCATTATTTTTGCTGCTTTTTGTTACTGGATCTTGAAAATTCATTAAAAAGTTTAATTGATATTAAATTACATAATTCCTGCATTGCAATTAAATCTCACCAGCATCTAGGAATGTCAATCTTCTCAAAAAAAGCTTCCAAGTTCAAAAATAGAAATTTTGCAGCCATAATCTCAGATAAAAAGTTCAAAGAACGACTATAAAATTTTTGTAGAACATTTGAATGACGATGAGAACGAATTTGCTATTAAAAAGATTTTTATAGAGGCAGAGGAGTATGTAATTATCCTACAAGACATTCTACTGAATAGATGCAAACTCTTTAGATGTGAAATTTTATTGCATTTTTATATGACAGAAGAATTTTTATCCATATGTAAATTTTAATGGCATCTTTTATGGCTTATTCTGAAAAAAGTTGTTCTTGCTTTGGATTAGAAAGCTTTTTTTTTGGAGATTGTTGTTCAGAAATGCTGTTCTGTTGATTGGATTGATACTTGTTGATTACATTGTATGTTTTGGTTGAGAATTATGCAAAAGTATGATTTGTAAATTAGCTGAAAGCTGGTGACTAAGTCTCAATACAAGTTAGGGTAATCATGGTTAAGTAGACAACTTATTCCAAAATAATATTGGAATCAAAAGTTCAGAAATTACAAGTTACAATATTTTTATCATTTCGAATCATTTTTTGATAATTTTTGTTCTTTTTTGTTCATTTTTGAACATTTTTGAACATTTTTGTAATTTTTTCAGCTTAAAATAAAATTGTAAGCATTAAAAATTTCTCAAAAAAAAAATTCAAGTCATTCAAAAAACTATAAAATGCATTTAAATTTATTATTAGTTGACTTTCCACATTCCGTACAGAGAAGTGGTCATAAAAATCAATAATCCTGAACTGTACTTGTGCTAATGAACTTTTCAATTGAACTACCAAAGAAACATTTTCTTTTTCAAACATTTTCTTCTTTTAATTCTTTTAAAACAAGAAATTTTCTTTATTGATTTTGAATAATTTTTTTATGAGTCATCATTCAGATTGACGTAATTTGTGACTGCATCTTGTGTGAGTTATTGACTCGTAAGTAAAGCGAGGGTTGAAATATAAACTTTCTAGAATTTTTAGAATGACTGAATGAGTTTTTAAAGTGATTTTCTATGACAAAATAGCAATTCTGATAATTCAGTCTGTCTAAAATTTCATCAAAGTCTAATTCAGTAAATCATGCTTTAAATTTAACCAAATAAAACCCAGTCTTATCTCAACCAAACCACAGACATCCGAATTATCACAATAATTAATATTTTCAATCTTCGTCTCATGTCCATGCATCCATCTACCGTGAACAAGCATGTTCATCTCCAACATAACGATAAATTTTCATAGAATCTTATCTAAATAATGCAGAACCAATAATAAACCACATGTACATGTAGCTTAGTAGAAAAGCCAACGTGTGAAGTGATACAAAGCCACAAAATACACAAGACAATACCATAATAATAATCATGAAGAGCAGGAGGGATATTTCATATAGAATAATTCATATAATGTTGTTGGTAGTTGATAAAGGCTGTAAAAAATAGCAACAATAACTCATAAGAGAAAGTGTAGATGATACATGAGCATATGCAGACAGAAAAGGAGAGTAGAACCCCTGACATAAGATTAATGAATGTCAGGAAGAACTAACGGAAGGGATCAGGCAAGAAGGAATTATGAAAAATATTTCATGTCTTCCTTGGCTCACCTTAGTTGCTATGCTGTGTTTTTGAGGTGTGCATTACAAAAGTTTTGGGTTAGGAGATTCAGTTTGACTAGTTTGTGAGGTCACTACTGAAATACTAAGCTGGAATTGACTTTGTGATTAAGTTCACGATCAAATTATAAATAATGAGTAAAAAATAATTTGTAAAGTTTTCAAAATAATTTGTAAGGTTTTTAGAATCAATTGTTCGGTTTTAACAGTAAATTGTAAGGTTTTTAATATAAAAGTAACTTGTCAAGTTTTTAAAATAATTTGTAAGGTTTTTCAGACTTTGAATTTTTTAAACCCGTTAAAATTTTAAATCTCAAAAATTTGTTAAATTCTTTTGTAATTTCTCCAAATTCTGACCATTCTCAAGTTCAAAAACAGCACTTTAGTCACCCATACATAAGTTTTCCATGCAAACTTCCTTGACATGTAAAAATAATGAGCTATATCATCTCCATGGAATGGAAGTTGACCAATGTAAATTATGAAATTCATTTTTTACATATACGGAAAATGTTTATTCAACTCCAACTTCCTGACAATAAAATAAGTAAAGTATTCGTGTTATGAGATCACGAGGGGAAGACAACACAACGGGAAAAAATTTCGATGTGAAATTGGTGTGAAATTTCCCACCACGATGGGAATTTCCCATCGTTTCCCGTCGATTTCCCATCGCAATGGGAAATTTCCCGTCGATTTCCCATCACAATGGGAAATTTCCCACCACACTACGGGGCAATATTGAAGACAGCGAAAATCAAGAATTTTTTTATATTCATTGAATGTTTCGAATTACACTCTCGGGGCATTTTTTTTTTTCTTGTAGAGGACATCGAAATTGACTTCTTGTCGTAATTTTAGGTCATTTGGAGTTATTTCCGTAATTCTAGGGCTGTTTGAAGATAAAAATAGACGAAAATTCTGATTTTTTCCTGTCCTTTTTGAACTTAAAGTTCTCAACAATGATTAAAGTCAGAGATCGAAGCCGATTTTTTCGGCTTAACTCAATTTTTGATTTTTTTGATAGAAAAAAGCCATTTGACACCCATTTCAAGTATTTAAATTGAACTTTACATGCTTTACTATGATTCTGTGTAATATTTTGTCAGCATGTAGCTATAATGAGCTCAGAATTTCAATTTTGAGAATGTTAAGCCGAAATTTAAGCCGATCGGCTTAAAATCGGCTAAATTGAAATTCTGAGCTCACTATAGCTACATGCTGACAAAATATTACACAGAATCATAGTAAAGCATGTAAAGTTCAATTTAAATACTTGAAATGGGTGTCAAATGGCTTTTTTCTATCAAAAAAATTAAAAATTGAGTTAAGCCGAAAAAATCGGCTTCGATCTCTGATTAAAGTTATTGAAAAACGCTTTTCAATCCCTATTCAAATAAAAGATTTATTTTAAAACATAATGAAATTTAGGATGTATGAAAATCTTAGGAAAACTATCTTCGTACGTTCCGCAAATATCTTAGCTCTGATAAATACTGATTGCTAACACAAAAATGTGCTGGGGTCCCAATAAAAGTTCAATATTTGTCAAGATATAGGGTACTTTTTGATTTCTGACGAGTTGTATCCTTTTCATATTTCTCAAACTGCTCTAACTCTTACAAAACAAAATACTTTTTAATCCGTTTTCAGATTATTAAAGCTTAACTTATAGTTAATACCTGATACGAACAGTTCATGTTCGACAGACTTATCGAAAGTCTAGGGGTGTTATAATATGCACGTTCGAAAAATTTAAATTTGAAAAAATCGTTACATTTTTTGTCATTTTAGTATAGTTTTTGATGGTTTTAAAAAGATTTAGCTATGTTAAGCATATTATTAAATGACTACATAATATTTTCATCAAAATTTCATATAAAACTTGCTTAATTTCATTTTTATTTTTTTCTTTATTTTCGAAAATTTTGAACTGCGGGGTATGAAACTTCGAATTTTGCGTGGCAGACAGACAAATAAGACATTTTCACAAGTTTTCTTGGTTAACGGTCGAAACTCCTGAATTGTTCGTATCGGGTTAATACCATTCTAATGATGTATAATACTTGATGGTTACTTTTGATATTGGTCATGAATATAGGCTTTGTTTATGAATGACCCCAAATTAGAAAATAATCTCAAAAACGACATTTCTAGAAATAAAACTTAGAAACAAAATTTTGCATAACTAAGACTATGCAAACTCAAAAGGAAAGGAGATATGGTTTTACTACCCGAAAAATCTCCATCTAAAATATCTGCGGCACGCTTGAAGCTATTTTCCTAAGTACCAAAACTACAAATTTATAAATTTAAATGTGCAACAAAATAAAGCTTTTACATCATACTATTAGGAACTGAAAAGCGTTTTTCAATAACTTTAATCCTTGTTTAATTATTTTTAACTTCAAACAGACCTAGAATTAACGAAACAACATCTTATTACCTGAAATTTGGTTATTACATCAATTTTAATGTCCTCTTCAAAAAAAATATGCACCGAGAGTGTAATTCAAACCATTCCAAAAACAATTTCCAATTTTTTTTTAAATTTGCCCCGAATTGGTGTCACGTTGGGAAATTTCCCATCAATTTCCCGTCGATTTCCCACCATGATGTGAAATTTCCCGTCATGATGGGAAATTTTCCCACTACGGTGGGAAACCATAAATTTTTTTCCCGTTGTGTTATCTTCCCCTCGTGAGATCATTTATATTCACACATTTTTTTTTCTCGAATTACCATTTTTTGTTAATAATCCTCGGATCATATCTATGTCCATAATCACGCAATCTCACGCGTCGTTGCTAATTGTTAATTAAATTTTGAATAGAAATTTCTTCATTTATAATTTATGATTTTGTTTTTCTCCTCTTCATTAATAGGCAAATTGGTTTAGAGCCGCTCAATATTGTCGCTTCCATGGCATGCATTTGGCTAGCATTTCATCACAAGAAGAAAATGATAGACTAGAGAAGCACATTCGTGACTTCGGTAAGTTTAGAGTTGAAAACAGGGCTGCGATACAGGCACCTGTGCACAGGTGAGAACCTTACAATTCCTTGATAATTTATAAGGTTTTTTTAACAAAACCATACAAATTCTAATTCAAATTATCAAGGAATTGTACGGTTCTCACCTGTGCACTGGTGCCTGTATCGCAACCCTGGTTTAAACTTGAAAATATAAATTCATTTAAATCAAATTAAATTGTAAAACATAAATTTTGCAGGTCTCGGAAATGAGCATTTCTGGACGTCTGGAACTGATTTAGCGGACGAAGGAAATTTCTTCTGGATGGCAAACGGACGACCGCTTACATTTACAAATTGGAATGCAGGCGAGCCAAATAATTTCCGTTATGAGAATGGCGAGGAGGAGAATTGTCTAGAACTTTGGAATCGCGATGGTAAAGGACTCAAATGGAACGATACGCCATGTAGTTTTGAAACATATTTTGTCTGTGAAGTGCAATAATTGTTTTCATGCACGGACTTTTTGCTGCCAATTTTGTTTTTTAAATAGAAAATTCCAAAATAATTTATGAACAACTTTTTTTTATCGTTTGTTTGCCTTTTAAATCCACCCTTTAAAAAAATCAGAGAATGAGTCGGAAAAAAATAATGAAATTGAGAGGGAATAATTGGATTTATGTCCATCATTTATCGATCTGCAAAGTATATATTTTGTACAGAAATTGAATCAATTTTAATAAATTTTTTGGCTTGAAAAAATTAATTTTTATGAAAAGCACACACAAAAAAATAAAGACTCGGGGCTAAAAATTATTATTAAAATTGATGCGATATACAGCCATTTTTATGAAAACATATATCACTGCCTTCACGAATTCTACACAAAATAAAATAAAATGAAAGAGCAATTCTACAACTTTGTTTGTACATAAAATACGTCCTTTACTTTTAAATATATTTTAAGTGAATTCTATGAAAATGTGTTGGGCATGATGTTGACTCAGAGTTGGATATTCAGTGAATCTACACAAATTATAACATATCCAATACTGAAACTTATAATTTTCAAAACAAAACAATTCTTATTTTATCATTAATTAAATTACGAGACAAAAAAAAACTCATTAAGCACACAAATTCACAAAGAATTTTCATTCATTACCTAAAACTTTCTCAAAAAAATCTTTAAATCTACAAATCAACTCTCTATTAGCCAAACTGACACTTATTGCTAGCAATTTCTTATCCTTAACTAGCCATAAATGTCTTTTGGCTGCTAGAGATTAATAATAATTAATTATTTTTATGATAGAAATGAGACATTTTAATGCTCCCTATTTCCTATGTACTTTTTATTACAATTGTAAATAAAATAATAAAAAAAAAAATCCAAAAAATTATATTAAGCGACTATTTCACTTTGTTTTAATGCTCATTAAGCTCATGTTTTTTTATTTAATTTTTTTCAGATAAGGGGTCGTTTATTAATGGCGTATAAAGGGGGAGGGGAGGGAGGGGGGTCAGCAAGAAAAGAACATTTCCTGGATAGAAATTCCTGGAAATCCATTGTTCATTTTTGAAAAATGACCGTTTATTTTGGACGTCATAAGAGAATGGACCCTAATAGGGTCGATTGGAAATTACGTTAAAAAATTCCATCACAAAATTTGTCTTTTGCATATACAGCATCAGACATTCCTAACCACGCTTAGTAATGGACATCATTTATAAACAGTTCCTTTTCGATTGACAGTAGGGGACCAGTAATGGATGGGGATGATTGACGAAAATATTTCTTACGAATCAATCAATTTCGCTTTCCCTCACATTTTTGGAAGTAATTTGTTTATAAAGCAATAAATAGTTGTGCATACAGCAATTTAAGGATGACATGAGGGATGAAATTGAGGAGAAAATCGAAATAAATTAAACTTTGGAATGGAATAGCGAGATTTTCTTGCTGGATTCTTTTGTAAATTATGTATAAACTCTCTAATTGGTAACTGTAAAGGTTTCCACTAATGACTATGCCTCAAAAATGTAGCTTACATCCCTAAACAGCCTCAAATTCTTAAAAATACACAAACTTAAATACCACAGAACACCAAATAATGCTTAATTCCTTGAAAAAGAAGACAAGTTTCTCATTGAACCATCGCCCACTATTCTATCAGATTCCCAAACTCCACATCTGCATCAGAAATGACATCCTTAATCCCAAATAAATCATCAAGCTAATTGATGTTCCATATCAAGCACAACATACATTTACCGGTCTACAATCCAATGGATTCTCAAAAAACCCCAAATGTTAATCCAAAACCATAAACTTACGCTCAATGTCCTCCCCACAACAAAATTCAGCATATCCATAAGAAAAATATTTGCCATCCCATTTTGCTCACTTCTCTGTTGTGTAATTCAAGCAAACTATGTAGCACAGATGAATATGAGGAAGAAGGAAGGAGAACAGAACGATTGCAAGATAAATTTAATTTTGAATGTTGCAAGTCACTAAACATAAACTGTTCTGTACCCTTCATCATCCTCTTATTCTTCATCGCTTTATTATCGTAGCAGAAATAAGCTCGAGGAAAATATAAAAATAAAAGCATGATGAAGAAATCGAATAAATATTCAATAGGCTACGCACATAGAGTTAATCAAATCATGTAAACAAGAAAAAAATAATAGAAAATCAATTTCAATTTTCACGACGAGAATATAAAAACGGAAATGATTGCATGGCACGGAATCGTTTAGTGGCGTTGTATATTGCGTACCAAAATGGGAAGTCTTGTAAGAAAGAAAAAAAATTGCGGCACCTAATTAAGTATTGAACCATATGCTTAAATGCTTCATAACCTCCACAGATTGAAATTGCTCATTTCAGGCTATAATAGGCCATTATAGAAATCTTTTCCTTTTTCTTTCACTACTGCTGCTGTTGCTGTGCCACATAACCACATTTCGATAAATTTTTATATCCTTTTATGAAATTTTATTTCTTTGCTCTTCTTTTGTGCTATTGATGTGTACATCCGCTTATCTGAATGAAGCATAGAGGTAATAATAATGAGACATCCAACAGATGAACTTCTTTTGTGACAGCGGATTTTTACGCGACAGTTATTTGCCAATGTTAGCAAAGAGAACAGAGTCCGTTACAAACAAAAAAATTTCAAAATTTTCGTGCGGTATTTTTTTAAAATTTCAAAATAAGAAAGTCCGTTACTTTTTATTTTTTTTAAACTAGCTGTTTTTTAAAGCATAAACATTTAAGGAATGCAATTTCATCACAGTTATTATCTTTATCATAAAAACTAGTAGGAATGTTCACTAAAATTACAAATTACTCGAAAAATAATAATTCACAACGCATTTTTTTAAAAATAAGAAATTCGAAGATTCGATTTTCGAAAAATAAGAACTTCAAAAATTCGAAGTTCGAATAATAAGAACTCAAAAATTTCTGTTTGCTAGCATTGGGTTATTTGTAGATAAGGTTGTACTGGAAATCCAAAGGAGAAAACAAGATGATGAGTAGAGGGTTTCTCTTCTGGCTACAAGCATGATCCTTAAAATACTTTGACATTTTATTCAGTCCAAGAGTTCAGCTTCGTAACTAGGTTAGGAAAGTCATCTTCAATCTAAGACCTAGGATTCAAACCTAAGACCTAGGATTCAAACCTAAGACCTAGGATTCAAACCTAAGACCTAGGATTCAAACCTATGACCTAGGATTCAAACGTAAGACCTAGGATTCAAACTTAAGACCTAGGATTCAAACATAAGACCTAGGATTCAAACGTAAGACCTAGGATTCAAACGTAAGACTTAGGATTCAAACCTAAGACCTAGGATTCAAACCTAAGACCTAAGACCTAGGATTCAAACCTAAGACTTAGGATTCAAAACTAAGACCTAGGATTCAAACCTAAGACCTAAGACCTAGGATTCAAACCTAAGACTTAGGATTCAAAACTAAGACCTAGGATTCAAACCTAAGACCTAGGATTCAAACCTAAGACCTAGGATTCAAACCTAAGACATAGGATTCAAACCTAAGACCTAGGATTCAAACCTAAGACCTAGGATTCAAACTGGGGCCTAGTTCAACGCTTTACCACTCGGACCACTAATGCCATTTAATCGACACAACATTAACCTGCAATTTTCAAATACAATCGATTAATCCCTTCCAAAAAAATATTAAATTCGCTTAGGGTTGGTTCACTTATGACGTCCATCAAAAAACCTGATTTTTAAACCCCCCCCCCCCCTCTGTCACAAAAATTCTATAGAAAAAAATTTCCATTGTTTGAACTGTCACAAAATCCTAGACCCCCCCTAAATGTCGGGCGTCATAAGTGAACAGCCCCTTATGCTCTACACCAACTCTTAAAAATTTCCCAAATTCTCATTTCGATGATCCTTTTTTGTATGCTTTACATTTATTTTCTTCCTTTTTACGATATTTACGTGAACGATATACCAACAGCATAAACCATAGCAGGCATGGCAAGTGAGTCAAAAGAAAGGAGAAAAAAAAACGAGGAAGACGACATAATGCTTTTTAATAACACAACCGTCTGCTATTTCCGAGCAAAATTTTTTTATGATAGCTCATGGTAAAGAAAACGGAAAGAGAGAATGATGAAGCTATAGATCATCAGGAATCATTTCCTATTCATGTACATACTTTTTTCCTGCTTTGTCATAACAATGGAGAGGATATTTTGCATTCTACTCAATATGAATATTTATATTAATCAATCTTTTTGTATTTCAACACATTTTTATGCTTCTTGTTTAGTGTGTTGATAAACCCTCTTCAAAAAAAGAATCATTTTGTAGCAAAATTGAATTATGAATAGTTGGGGGGGGATTGTCTTGTTGGATATTTAATATGATGTATTTCCTCAATGATTGTTCACTTTTTAACTTAATTTATTTTGATATCTTTATTATATTTTAATAAACTGTTAATAGCAAGGGTTAAGCACTCTCTGAGATGTGTGAGTGAGATTATTTGTGATTGATGAAAATGAAATTCGTGAAGCTTAATGCACAATTTTTAAAAGCACGGACCTAATACAAATGATTCAAGGTGAGAAAACTTGTCAAAATATCTTATTTGTCTATCTGCCATTATGAAAATGTAACGGTTTTTTGAAATTTGAATTTTCCGATCGTGCATATTTTAACACCCTTTGACTTTTGATAAGTCTGTCAAACATGAATTGTTCACATGCAATTCAACAAAATCAAGAATGTAGTAGTCGTTTATTAACCTAGTACAAATATTAAATTCCATTCTGATGCTATTTCTATTAGAGCTTTAAAGATAACCTGATTGTTGATCAAAGCATCCTCCTCAAGCTACATCAACTCGAGGACTTAATTTACGATTCTATGGCAACGATTTTATATAGCTCATTAAAAGTATTTTAACAAGCAATAGCTTTCAATGAACAAATCTGAGAAATTTGTTATAGCAACTCTATTCATCTTTACTCAGATATACATTCTCGGAAGGGAATTGAAACTTTTTTCAAGAAACAATTGATATTTTTTGTGCTTAAAAATGCTCAATAAATTTTGAAATAAAATTCATTCAGGAATTAGTACACGTGTCCTTAAATGGGTCAATAGTCACAACATAATCATTTCCCAAAAAAAAGATGATGATAACAAGAAGGCAATGATACATAATTTAAGAGGAAAGAGCGGAAGAGAGAAATTATGTGAACATGGAATGGATATGAAGATTATGTTTTACTATATGCATACACAGCAGTCAGCAACAACAATAAACAATTGGCGCCCTGACAATCATCTTTTTTTTTAATGGTATGTCGAACATGCGCTTGATAAGAAAATTTCCCCTTTCTGAGCTTGAGTGCCTGCTGATTTTTCATTTCGCGAGAGAAAATGAGAGAAAATGTTTTGTAAATTTTCCAGTTCTCATAGATTTGAAAGCTTAAAAAAATACTTTTTTACAGCTGACTGCATAAATGTCAGGCGAAAAAGTCAATTGGATTTAAAAATTCATCCTAAAATCCATGCAACTTCATTCATGAAAAGTTTGAAAAATTCATAAAATTTTCATTTTTTCAATTTTAAATATTTTCTCTCAATTTTCCTCTCTCCTGAATTTTCCACATTCTCGCAGGAAAATGAGAGAATATTCCAACATGTCAGGCAAGAGTAACTGTGCGACACACATAAAAAAATCGTTCATTATCGGTTCTGCTTTCACTCGCTTAACATAAATCTCCGCATCGTGTCATGTTCGCATTGAAAAAAAATAGTCATTTTTTTTCACGGGTTGTGGCAGTGAAAAATAGAAAATAAGAAAATAGATGAAAGGTGAATGATGAAAAGTTTTTTGTGAAAAATACTAAAAAGAGTCAAAAATGAGCAAAAAATAAATAATAAAAGTGAGTGAATTATGAAGCAAATAATTTTTTTTTTTCATTCTCAACCTCGCTCTTAAGTGTGTGTGGCTGTCAGTGGTGGGAAAAAAGGAGCAAGAATATTTTTTTTTATATCTTCATAAGGTGTGTGTGATGTGAGAAAAATAAATTTTTGTGCTGAGCATATAAAAAAAAGGATCTAAAATTCAATAAGCTGCACATGCACATACAAAAAGTTCTTATAATATCGTTTTCATTTGTGTGCATTGAGGATAATTCTCAGGATGAAAAAAAAAATAGGATGTTCACAAAAGAACACGTTCGCTCATTTAGAATGAATGGAAACTTCATCAACTTGATTGAATACAATTTATTCGAAATTTATGTCATATTTTTATTTGCCGTTCACCTAAAGCTATGGAAAAAATTTTTTTTACTGTGCTGTGTGCTCTTCTTCGACAAATATGAATGTTAGGGAGGTTCAGATCAATCTCTTCTGTGTTCATGTCAATAAAGAAAAAAAAATTGTAGACTCACAGTCAGGGTTGGAATGATGCTGTTAAATTATCTTACTTATTTTACTACTGGTTGTTCAGATTAACTGTGATCCATGGTTTACGTAGGATGGCATGTGAAGCTGGTTTCATTTAAGCCAGTAGCGTAGTTAAGGGGGTTGATTGGTGGATCTACAGCACCCTTGGGTAGAAAATCCACTAATCCCCCACTCACCAAAAAAAAAAAATTATCCAAACATTTAAAAAACCTGTCTTTACCGCTGAACTAAGCCTACCAAATGTCAATTACCAATTCCTAGTTCAATACTTTCAATATTTTCCTTCCATGACTTTTTTGTCTATCTTCGTATAATCCGGGGTAAACAAGTATGTCATCTAAAACTTCTGGTGCCTTATGAAATATATGACAACCCATTAAACTTAAATTGAAAGTTTATAAGCGTCTGTAAGACTCTGAATAGCTCAAGAACCACTGCACTGATGTGTCGTGGACCATAGTTTAAGCAACACTGAATTTATCTTTTCAAGTAGGACTATTTTAACGTCTATTGAATTAGGATTTGATTAAAAAAAACAACCAGTCATTCCCAAAAATAAGATTTTAAATCCTTTTAAAGCAGCATAAAATCCCCAACCCTGAATAATTCAATCTTTATAGCTCGTCCTTCCTTCGCCTCTTTCTCCAACTCTCACAATAAATATGTGTAGATGTTTATACAATATGAACGCCTCAATCTATGATGATGAATCGAAAGGAATATGAAATGAGACAAAAAAAATTGTTGTACATAATCATGGACGTGAATTTATGCTATGATTACTATCTATATCTATGAATCAGGTTCTCCCCTTTTTTTCTTCACATTTATTTTCCCTATGAGATATGGCAAAAGTAAGTCTCAATGCGTACATACAATTTGAGTTTTTATACACACATAAATTGATGCTGGCAATAGATATCTCGAAGTGATTTTCATCATGCAATATAGTGTGTGCACAAAAGCAGAAAAACTTTGTCATGCAATGATTGTCGCTTCACGATGAAAGTTTAAATAAGAAGAAGTGGATGGGAAGAAGATAGATGAAAAGTTAATATAATAATAATGGCAGCAGCTCAGAAAAAAGAATGCTGAAGATTTCCTTCAAGAGATATAAACTTTTTGCATACAAACTGGATTTTCCATGAGAAAATATCAGAAAAGCTGTAAATTCAGAATCAGGAAATGTGGGGAGGATTTTTTTTTCATCTATGTGAAAAAGGGAAGGAAAATTTGTTTGATGCTAATGTTTATGGAGATTTTTTTTTGTTGATCATATTAAAAAATTTAATATTTGAGAGCTTCTTATGGATGGATATGGATGGCGTTTTTTGTGGAAAAATCATAAATGCGGAATTTATATTTTTAGAGATTTAATTTTTGAGACTTGGGGAATTTTTGATTTTCTGAGGAATTTTTCATTATGTTGAAGCTTAGTATGCCTTTAATAGGAGCGCCTCTAGTAGATAGATTGTATCTTATTCAAAAACTCAATATCAGGGATTATCACAGAGCGAAGTCGCTTACTAAACCAGCTTAAAAGTCGGCGGCTTTGATCTCTGGAGATTATCTCAATCCAGACTAAAACAACTAGAGTTCAAGGAGGTCTAAACCAAATCAAGTACAGTCTACACTTTATCAAATAAATTCTAAACCTCCTTAAACTCTAACCTGCACCCATGCAACCTGAAATGAAGATAAATTCTCAAAATCCCTTTAATTTTAAAGCTTACTTCCAACTTAATTATTTCAGATTTCTTCAGAATCTCATCACCAATCCCAGGCCATGTCTAATTTTCGAAGCTCCTTTTCCATTTCACCGTTCTAGTTACGAAGCTCGGTTCGTGTGTTGGGTGTAGTTTTGAGGTCTTTGGCATAGAATATGCCTCCTTTGCTAGGTATACAAGGATATACTAGCATCTGGATGACTTCCTTACGGCATCTTGCGCACACGAATTGTGACTAGGTACATTGCAGGGTACATCAGGTCTTATGACGTACTCGTGTCTTTGCAATGTGCAGAGCTTGCAAGTGGTTCGGATCCCACTATAAACTGTAGGTCTAAAGGGTGTGGTACAATAGATTCTGTTCTAATTTGAATCGCAGTGCCTCCAGCTGAAAGGCTGGGCCCTTCACACATTATTATTATCATCACCAAAGTTACCGAACTAACCCATTTAATGGACATGCAAAATAAATCTTACTTGAATTATTAAACTATAATAAATCTAGTAAAAACTTTTTCAATATAATCCAATGTTAATAGGGATTTCCATTGTGTCACATGAAGCTTTTGCCGTTCAACTCTCAAAATATATTATCCTCGTGGATGTTTCAGCATCAAATCTCGGGTTGTGATAAATTTATTAGAACTGCAACCATGTGCGACCACATGGAATAGATTATGGAATGGAATGGACGGAGACAAGTGCTCAATAATTTTGAAATTGTGTCAGAAAAAAATAGTTTTTGAGATAAGAGAATTGAAGTTTTTGGCAATTGACCATAAAATGCATTATAAAGTAAATTTATAGATTTTTTTGGCTATTGTGGGAACTTTAGTGAATTTTAAACTTTCTGTAAAATTTTGGATCAAATCAATTCTTTTAAAAAAATGAACAAAAACAGCTACTACTGAAGGTTAATGCTATTCAAAAAACAAGTCCATTAATCAATATCTTTTATGCTCGAAAATATGATATTGTTAGACGTCATCGAACCCATAGATTTTATCAGACAAATTAATTTTCATATCTTTCATTAACTTAGTATAAAAAATTCAGAAATTTGATGAAAAATGGATTGACGCATTAAACAACTTTCATGTCTCAAGAGGATGATGAATTAATTAATTTATGTTGATTTTAAGTCTATGACTGGTTGTATTTAAAAATGTAAATTAAATGACATTTTCTGAGTGAATAATTTATCAAAAGAGAATATTAAGACTTGAATGCACGTGTTAAATTGATAATTTAGATTCTTTTTTCAAACTTTGAAGTTTTAAGCTTTTGAAAGTTTGTCAAGGTTTAGCATATTTGATTGCATTTAGAGAGTCAGGCTGATATTGCAAAATCACTCTTTTTATTGCATTTCTGTCTGTAATCCACAAAAGATGCTGTAAGCTTCATTATTAATGCACAAAGTTTGAAAAATTGATTCCCAAAAATTAATCAAACAACAAAAAAATCAACAAAATTCCTGAAAACTTTACAAAACTTCTCAATAGTCCAAAAAAATCTCTTGATTACGAGAAACTTTTAATATTCATTTAATTAAGCAGATGCTTAATTTACAAAAACAGAAATAACAAAAAAATATTTTAATTAATAACCACAAAAATTACAAGAAACTTTCCCATAAAAACTTTTTTTTTGTTAGTGCTCATACAAAGTTTCCCCCCAAAAAACAACAAATTTTCCCTCTTGCATGTCATCTTGTTATCGTATACAGACCGAGTTGAGTAAAAAAAATTACATCATTGCTCAAGCAAGTGGAGAAAAATGGAAAATTATGAGATGAGATGAGAGTAAGCAGAAAGGAAAGGAAAAAAAGGTTCAATAAACTTTTTATTACATGTTGCTATGTATACATAACAAATATCTCCTTCAAGAGAACTCCAAGACACTCTTATGATAATGAAAATATAATAAAATACAAGTTTAAGACATGAGCATAAACGTACTTGGCTGGAGAAGTTTTTATTAAGTTGCTTGCTATTGCGAGGAATGCATGCGAAGGAAGCTGAATAGTTTTTCGTTAAAATTCTTAATGCTCATGTAATTCAGTGGATGTAAAGCTTAAAAATAATTTTGAGAATTATTCATCATTGCCAGGATGTGCAATTTTAGCCTTTTTCATGCTGATTATGCATTTTGAGTGCAATTATAACTGCAATCTAAATCATTCTAAGCCAAATAAAAGAAATTCAAGATTTAACAGGCAATTCATTGTCAGGAAGTTAAATGAAGTGCCAATTTCAGTGATTATATGTTAAAAAAATTTGCAGAATAAAACTAAAATTACAGTCAGGCAATGAAAATTAATCGTTTGGAAATTGAATCTTTAGGTAGAACAGCAATAAAATAGGAAATTCTAAGTTTACACGTAAAATAGGAACATCAACTATAATTATCATTAAAAGGTTGTAAATCTTGTAGACTTTAATTCTTTATTCTTCTATTTTTTTCTTAAACATTGCGCAATTGCACGATGATGGATAGTAGAAAGTCTCCTGTGCTAAGCTCCTGTTTTGATCTCTAAATGTCCATAAACTGATTTCCATATGCTTTTGAACACACATAGTTTTTGTCGAAGCAGTATTTGGAAAAGTATCCAAATCGCATGATGACCTTGGATTTGAACATTCCTCGATTCTCAAAGTTTGAGTGTAATTTCCATGATTCACAACTACTTGTGGCTTATTTAAAAGGTTATTTAATTTTTTTGGATGTATTGTCTTTTTTATAGAATGACACAATTCTGTCTCATATGTGTCTTGTTCATCTCTTTTGTGCCTTTTTTGATCGTCAACTTTTTGTTGTGGAAATTTATACTTCCACAATTCTAAGCTATTCAAATCGTCCAAAGGATAATCTGAATCGTCTTCACAAATTAAGTCTTCACAAAACTTTCCAGCCAAAGTTGATGCCAGAAACACCGAAAAAATTACAAGCTTTAAACTCATCATGCTGTGTTGATAATTAGGACTGTTCCTTTCGATTGATTTAATAAGACTAAATTCAATTCACTTATCAGCAATCAGCACTAATGGAAGAAGTGACCTATCTGCTTGTTTACATAACATTGGGAAATTTTGCAGTTTGATAAGACAGACTTGATGCTTGTTTTTAAAAGATTTTAATTATTTCAGAGTTCGAAGGCAGGGATGTATTTAGAACCTTCATAATATCCCATCATCATATGAAAACCAGGAATTAATATTAAAACCGATTGAAGATAAGCTTAAAAGAAATTCAAGCAACAATTCAAATTTATTGCAGAATTTGCTGAAATAATTCATAATGTCGATGCAACATAAATAATGAAATTAGCGAGCTTATAAAAAAAGATCATTAAATTTCATTATGTGACCATGAACACAGAATATTTATCACAAAATCTGCAATGAACTCTATAAATTGATTTAAAATTCAATTGTGTTATTAACATAGCAATGCAGTTATAGATCCCTGAAGGGTTTTTTGGGATGAGAAGCGTGTTTTGTTGAATGATTTTTGAAATCGAGGCTGTTCCATCGAGGAAAAAGGGAGATGGGTGAGGTGTCTACTGTAAAAAACTTAGTAATATCAGTTAGGTGTGACTCAAATTTGGCAAAGATAGTCATTTGTAATCCATAAAGAGTCCAATCTGGGATTCTAAACTTCGCGTAGCAGAAAGCTCCTACATATAGCTTTGGATCACTTGGGGTTATCTAGTGACTTCAATATGCATAGTCTGAGTTCAATTTTCAACTTAAATAATTAATTGTATTAATATCCCATTCATCAAAGAATAGATCCAATCGTTATCTTACTTACTTTCTGGCTGTCGTGCACGGTTGCCCATTGCCGCATTCAGAGATAGTCTAAAGACAGCTCTATCTTTCGAAACCTTCGGCCAGTTCGGGATATTAAGGACTCTAGCGTTATCTAATGGATATAAATAATCTTTCATTTAATTAATGAAATATTTTGTTTTGTATCGGAAAAATGTGAGGCAAAAATTAATGGAAATTCTTTCATTGCCCAAAAGAATGTTATAAATAGCTAAATGCTTGTTATATTCCCATGTTGTGTCTTATAAATAAAAATTGAACGATAGAAAACTTTTCTATCATGATTTATGGCAACAATTAATTAAACGTTATTATAAAAGCAACAACAACAACAACGGCTATATAGAATATATCTTTCCTGTTTTATCGCTGACCTAGACTCAATAGAATATTTTTCCACAAAAATCCAGATCAATTAATATTAAATTAGAATATAAAAGGACGACCACACTGAGAAATTGTAAACTTTTTCTATTTTATTTCTGTCAGGCTATTAAAGCAGAAAGAAGATTGGAATGGGAGAAAAAACTTTTTATGTATTTGGGTCACAGCAACATCATCCGGATCAGCGCACAACAACAAATCAACAAATTATACTTTTTATAATTCTGTTGACTGCCTTTTTTCTCTCTTTTAAATGGGATGATATTTTTCCAACTTTTACTTTGTGGCAGTAGCAAAGGTTTCATTAATGTCGTTGCTTTTGTATAATTGGGAAAATGTCAGTGCTTTTACATTTCCTTTGTGTTGCTTTACTATGTGTGGTGTTTTTGAATTTTTTTCTGTCATAATTTATTAATTTAATCTAATGGGCCGTTCACTTATGACATCCAGGGGGGGGGGGGGGTTCAGACAGAAAAGAACAATAGAAATTCCTGTAAATCCAATGTTTTGAAAAATGACCGTTAATTTCGGACGTCATAATTGAACGTTCCCTAAGTTGATAGGTTGTCTGGGGTCAGGGCAGAGGACTCATTGTGGTTGTATGTTTATGATAGATAACCAAAATAATAGAAGTGCCTTAGTGGCTGAGTGGTTAGGATCTGAGCAAGATCTGAGTGTTCAAGGATTCATTCATTTAAGAACACAGGTTCAATTCCCATCAAATAAAATTTATAGGCAAATTTACATCGAACCTTTCAAAAGCAACAAACTCGTTGATCTGCTTTGATCATTCAAACAAATTCTATGCCTTAACCTCAATCATCAATATTAATATTTCACTAATTCAACTCAATCAATTCATACAATTTACCAGAAATTTTCAAACATTAATTTCCAAACAAAAGCAATTCAATGATTATAGTTCCTTCAAATAGCATCGAATATTCAACATTCCACATTCAATCAGCCATGAAAATGTTCAAACTCACACGCAAAAATTTCCCACATATCATTCAAAAGCAACTCGAATACCTTGAAAATTCATTTTCACACATATCACGCTGCAGTTGATTATTCGTTGTAAACAAGACATTGAGATTGCAGGAAGTTCATTAAATATTGTTTAAATCTAATTTTCTTTTAATTTCTCAAGAAGCCACAGCTTTTGCAACATTTTGTTTATTCTGGAAAATAAAGTTCACGTCATGATAAAATTGCTGCTGACGAGAAACCACAAAAACCGTGTCGACAATTCAAACAATTTTAAAATGAATTTAATTTTTAATAAAATGCGTTTGAATTTTTCTTCTATAAAATGTGGCTTGCAGCAGAAAAGTTTCTCGTATTTACCATCATTTTTGCATGCTCAGCACTTACGGATGTTTTATATTTTATTGAATTTCCACAGGAGTTGTGAATTTTTCGTAGCATTTAAAAAAGTTTAATTTTTTGTTATTTGAACCAAGCGATGCTGTTGTGTGGGCTGGTATCAAAACCAATGTATTGTTGCATTTTGTTACATTTCACACCGAAAAACCACGGAAAGTTTGTGACAGTTTAGCTGGAATCAAATGCCTGTGGTTGTAGTTGCACAATTTTGTTTTTCGTGCTTTTATAACTGGTTATTATTTCAATGGATATTAATTATATTTTGTGCCTTTGTTAAAGGTTTTTTAATCGCCAACTTGCATCTGATCCAATGCAAACAGCAAGTTTGAATGCAGCGCAGTCTTAAGTCACTTCTTTTAAGAAATACAAATCAGGAAATATCTCAAATTCTGTTGATTCCGCACACAAAAAATCATCACTTTCCCATGATGACAATAAAATTCTCTAAATCCTCAAACTTTTCAAAAGATATGTGGACAATTTGCAGACGTATTTGAACAAATATGCTTTAAACCATAAGAACTCACTCGGCACAATAAAAATCACACCCTCAAACCAAAATAAAAGCAGCACAGAAAATGAAAATATGAAAAATCAGCTAGAAAAAAGTTGGAAAACTTTCAAAAACATAAATCTAAGCATTTTTTTAAAATTTCACAATAAAAAGCGAAGAAGCAGTAGGAAATAAAATGAAAATTTAATTCAAATTGTGCGTTTTGTGCCATGTCATATCTCACTGCTGATGCCATACTACACGTTTGTTGGGAGTTATAATGTTGTGAGCATTGTGGGAATCCTAGTCATGTAGACAATAGTTTACCAGTCTAGTTTAGTGGGAGTCGAACTCACGTCCTCAAAAAAGAGAGGTTTGAAGATTTCCTAGTCGTTGCTTAAACATTCGACTATAAAAGTCTTACTCTAAAGTCTCAAATTGTCTCGATAAACAAGATTCCATTCTGCTTCAATGATATAAATGTTTTAATGATGCCCAAGCAGCACAACAAAATGTTAAAGAGATGAGGAAGTGGCTTAACGACACTATTAAGGTTCTGTTATGGCTATAATGAAATGTGCCAGAATGTGCTGCTCGGGATAGATTCTGAAATGATTATTGATGGATGACTTAAGTGTATTTTTGTGATTATTAATTCAAACCCATTAAATCCACCAAAATCATCTCAAGAACACGACTTATTTATGCATTAAAAATATTCCTACCTAAAAACAAAATCTTCAAATTTTTGTTATTCCTTCACAGCTGCAAATAAATGATCCAATATGAATCACGTTTTAAATCATTTGAGTAAATACAAAAAAAAAAACAATGTGAAAAATATTGAAAAACAAGCATAAGAAGCAAAAAGAGAGAGAAAAAGAAAGTAAAGGAGAAGAAAATGTAAATTACGAACATTTCATCGTACAGTGCGCGGCGCGAATGAGACGAAGCAGTAAATGCAAAGGAAAATCTCAGTGAATTGAAAAAGAAAAGAGAATAAATGGAATTTATATTATATAATATATATAAAAGTATATATTCTCGATGTTGATGCTGTTCAGTCGTGTGTTTTAGATATATGTAGATAAGCTACATCCAATGCAGTCACTATGAAAATTACTAGCTTATAAAATTGTTAAAATATGAAGAAGTTTTATGAAGAAAAAAAAAATGCTGTTAAATAAGACGTGCAGTAAAGTATAATCAACTTCGATTATCATTATAAATCTTCGCATCCAACATAATAACAAAGTTGAATCGCTATGGATTTGCAGGCAACAATCGAGTTTGCTGTTGAATTATATAAATTTTATAATGTTGACTTGTTTCAGAGGGGGTGAGTAATATTTTAACTTTTTAACAGGGGGGAAAACAACTTAGTGGACAAAATTGACAAAACACTTCAACTTTTTAAAAACAATTTTTGTCCCCACCAAGTGGTTCTCCCCCTAATTATTTGCTCTCATTAAACATTTATACAAAGCGTAGCTAAGGATTCATTGCATCACTTATTGTGCAATGCAGTTGATAAAAATAAATAAATTTGAAACATTTTCTGTAGAATTCAAATGAATTTTGTTTCTTAATGTTACGCAAACATACAAAATAAAATAAAAAGCTTGATAAAAGTTTAAATTGTCAAAGTTTAAGCATTTAAATGAGTGTAGGAAGAAGAGTTGTTGTTAAAACCTCTGAGAATTGAGATGTGCTTTTGAATTTGGAATTTTGAATTCATTTTGAGGAAATAGTTTTGATGCAAATAAATCTAAACATTCCAAAATTAAGAATTTAACAAACCAATTTTCCATTAAAATCAACAATAATTTACAAATAAATTTTAATTCAAAATTTTGTCCATAATTTATGAAGTTTACAAACTAAATCCTTTCTTTATGCAAACAAAATTTAAATTTTATGAGAGAATCATTATTCTAAACTAGTCTTAAAAACATCAACTCTATAAAAAATGAGAAAACCAAGCAAATCCTTCGATGCCATTTATAATGATGAAAATTTAAAATATGCTAATATAACTGGCTGGCAAGGAACGAAAGAAGAAAATGTTTTTCTTTCAAATTCCGAAATACATTTTTCCAAAATAAAACCCATTCATGGAGCATAAACTTACAAAATATAACAACATTGAGGGAAATTTATTTATGATAATTGCGAAACCATTGCCATAATCACTTTCTACTTTCGCCTACATACATCTTACATTATCTTTCTACACCGATTAACTCTATTTTATCTGCAGTTAAGAAACCAGGAAAGAAATAATGTGAAAAAGTTCATGAAATCCAATCTTTTTCCTGCTTTCGGTTTTAATTAGAATTTTATACACAGCAATTAACATAACTAGAGCTCATCTTTCATGTCTCACTGATTAAGTTTAACCAATAATTCTAAATGTTGTTGATGGAATCAAGTTGATAAAAATAAATTCATCTTTGGAATGTTGTTTTTTCATGATTAAGTAGTGAAATAGGACTTTTTGGTCTTGGAATTTTTAGAGGATCTCGATCTGAACTAGAGCGTTTAACTCCTCGAACAAGCTTAATTTGCAAGGCTGCCTTTAAAACTGATTAAGTAAAGAAGAAAAGGGTAAACAGCCGGAAATTTCCATTTCATAATTGAACCTTAAAAAAACATGTCAATGTCAATCTTCCAAAATACTCCCCAATTTTAACAAATTAAACCCAAAAATCCTTTGAAACAGCTCACAGCAACTAACCGAGCATAGAATCTCTAACCTGCTCTAACCATGAAATTGCTGTGAGTTATGGAGAGAATGAGGAATAAGAAAACTTGAAATTTGACCTTTCTACATCCACCTTTTATCTCTCTGTCGTACAGTTCCATCTCTTTCTAGCTCTCTTTTTCTCCAATTTTCCTCGTTATGTTAATGATTGTAAAAGTAAATGCGGAAAAAAAACCTCAGCAAGGCTTCAGATGAAAACACAAATTTTCTTCTCATTTCCTTCGGATCTTTTCATATTCATCACCGTAATTATACAGAACAGCACGAGGTAAAAATGTAGAAAGAAGACAAGATAGAAAGACATTGAATGAACACATAATTTGTCTATTCCGAAGAGCTTGTTTACATTTCCATTTTATAGATTGCTCTATCTTAGTCTCTCATTACACGAATGTCATTCATATCCGATTGTTTGTCCAAGAGTTCGACCTAAATGGAGTTTTCTTTCTTGGACATGTGCTAAAAATGGATTCTTATGCTTTAATCTTTTCTTATTTGTTTGCTTTCACGTTTAATTAAATATGGGAAAATAAACGAAATCGTAATTCGGATAAATAAGAAAAATGGCAATTGAATCGAATTTAGCCTTTAAACCTTTTGTTTGAACTTCACGAATTTTTCAAAATTGTTGAATTTAAAAAAATCATTAAAATCTGATTTTTATGTTCGTTATTTTTTTAATCATTTTACACTTAATAATTTTAAATATCTCAGAAGAAGCCATGCTTCACGTGGCATCTTCTTCATTGAAACAGCATCATCAAAATGTCAAGGTCTTTCCCTTAATCAATTTTACTTGGAAATCACTTCAAACGAAATTGCTCAAAATGAAATAAACTCAAATTTGATTTGTAGAAGAAATTAGCAATGATAACAACCAGCAGCAACCAGAAAATGCTTTCATATATTCAAAAGACCTAACGGCCAAAGCTCTTTATTAAGCTTTTTTTCAATGAAATTAAATTTCCTCGAAAAGTCGTATTTTCAATGGCAAAAAATAAACATTTTGATGTGAAGATTTCAGGGGTCGTTCGTAAATGACGTACATCAAGGTCTTGCCGCAGATTTATTTTTTACTAGACTAACTCTTTCATTACAAATTCTGTGTGTCTGATATGTCAAATAGCTTTAAGCCCCCCACCCCTGAACTCAAAGTGAAACATCATTTATAAAATACCCCACAGAAGAGTCTGACAAAAGATTCAATTGAGGGAGAAAAAAAATCTCAATACTCCAAAATAAAGTTTGGAGGAGAACAGATGAAAATTTTTGCGTTCGAATTCCAACCACGCCTTGACAATAAATTTTTGTCGCATAAATTTCATTCAATATCCTTTGGATTTTTGTGGATATAGCTAAAAAGAGTCAGTCTTTGTCCCTTTTTTTTTATAAAAATTCTCATTTCATTCAAATAAAGTTTTGCTTTTCTTATGAATTTATACATCCTTAAATACAATACTTTATTTTCAAAAATAGAACACAAAAAAGGAGGGTCCATAAAAATGCCGTAGGGCTATTTTAATAAGTTCATTTCCCTGACTCAATGTCTAAGCCTTTTTTTTTATATGAACATTCACCGGATGTTTTTTTTTCATTTAATTTTCTTTATTCCCTCGCCTTTCAACTTCTTTTCTTGATCCTGAAGCTTTTCATGGTACTTCAAGAGAGATTTTTTTTTGGATAGAGAAAATTTTTTTGTTGCCAAGTAAACAGGAAACTTGAATCTACGACTCCTACGTGGATTTTCTTAAGATTTCTTTTTTTATAGAGTTAAATTTTTTGTAGCAAAGTGGATGGGGTTGGAGATTTAAAGCGCAATTTATTTAAATTCGGAATGTTTTTGAGGATATTATAGGAATACATGCAAATATGACTAGTGGGATCAAGATATCTTCAAGAACTTATCTTTCTGTCCCTCTAGATTGGTTAAAGGAATATTTGTTTTTATTATTCGTGAGTGTTCTCGAGATGCTACTTATCAGGCAATTGGAGAAGTCCCTGATTTCTACTCTATCATGGACATGAGTTTCCATGATAACCAATTTAGTTGCCAAACCTTTATCTCTAATTTTAACTCAAATTCATCACTATCTGCAAATTGCGAGTATTAGTGCCATTTAATAATTTCATAAATGAACGTCCCTTTAAGATTCATTCGAATTCCGATCGGTACACATTGAAATTCATTGAAAAGTTTCCCAACCGTCAGTTGGTTTAATAGTATAATTAGAACCAAGCGTCAGCTCGCGAATAACTATCCACAAATGAATTCTTCCATCAATCAATTGAGATCCAGTCAGATAAATCACAATGAGATGAGGATTCCCGCCTTTAAAAAATCAGCCTTTTATCAATCACTCTGATAAAATCTCCAGATTACCAAGCGTGAGTTATTCTCAATAGACAACTTCATTTATTGTGACAGTTAGCCAATCAAAATGAGCACAATAATCTCCTCCCAAACAACTTTTTTCTTGCTAAGAATATAAAATGAAATTTCCTTCATTGAGTTTGAATTGCCACGAAAAAAAAAAGAAAAAAGAAACAAAAATTTTCTTTTCTCTGTTTTTTCAAGTGATTCAAAAGAAAAAATAGCGACTATGGCTCCAAGATCCAATAAAACCCTATTAAATAAACCTTTAATGTTGTTCTATTGATTTTAAATAAACACAATTGAATTTAGCCTTTTTTTGCTGCAAAGAACAAGTTTCAACTAGATTTCAGTATCTGGAAATATTCTGTTGATAACATTGTGCTCCTCCGAGCATGAAAAAGTTTGTGCATTATTAAAATAAAAAATATCATCAGCTTTATATTTATGAGTTTTTGAGAAGTTTTTACGGGCAGAATTTTTTCTTTTGTTTTTAGATCAATAAGCAATTGTTGAGGATATGGGGTAGAGGTAGTTGACTACCTGGCGGAACTTTAAGTTTGAAATTTTCCTAGCATCTAAGGCAGTACTTTTTGAGCCACGGAACACCTTTGAGATAAGCCATGTAAGCATGCGAATCGCGTTATTTTCAAAAATGTTCTACAGCACACAGATCTAAGGCACACCTCTAAAGCCAACCCCTGATTTTGCTGTAATTCGATTTGAGGAGAGTCACAGATCGCCCTTAAAAACCAGAACCTAGAATGAATTAGAGAGTATCTTGGATCCCTTACAAGAATATCAAAGTCTTCAAAAAGAACTTCCCAAAATATCCCCAACTTATTATCACACCGCATAGAAGTTAAAGCTTAAACATGTCAGTAAAGTACGTCCCTTATTTTCATGTGATGGCCCATCAAGGCTTACAGTAATGTGAGAGTATTAAAAGATATTCACAAAGATAGGAAGCGAAAGACAGCAATCTTGGCAATGCTGATTAATAATTGAAAAAGTTTTTCCTTCTTCTTCTCGCTTTTGCTGCTCATTTTTTCGATTTTGTTCTTTCAGCCAGCTCTATTTATGTGTCTCTGTAGAGGATTAACGACCATAGCGTTGAAATTATTTTCTTTTACTCATGAATTTTTCGTCTATCACAGCTAACCGTCTATCAGATATGGGATTTCTATCAGACAATCGATAAACA